TTATCGAGTCACAGATCTGATGTAAACACCTTCACGATAACGGTGACGCCTGGGGAGCAAGCTGCAAGCTGGGGCGCACTCTGCAAGCTGGGGCGCACGCTGCAAGCTGGGGCGCACTCTGCAAGCTGGGGCGCACGCTGCAAGCTGGGGCGCACGCTGCAAGCTGGGCGCACTCTGCAAGCTGGGGCGCACGCTGCAAGCTGGGGCGCACGCTGCAAGCTGGGCGCACTCTGCAAGCTGGGGCGCACGCTGTAAGCTGGGGCGCACGCTGCAAGCTGGGGCGCACTCTGCAAGCTGGGGCGCACGCTGCAAGCTGGGGCGCACGCTGCAAGCTGGGGCGCACTCTGCAAGCTGGGGCGCACGCTGCAAGCTGGGGCGCACGCTGCAAGCTGGGGCGCACGCTGCAAGCTGGGGCGCACTCCGCAAGCTGGGGCGCACTCTGCAAGCTGGGGCGCACGCTGCAAGCTGGGGCGCACTCTGCAAGCTGGGGCGCACTCTGCAAGCTGGGCGCACGCTGCAAGCTGGGGCGCACTCTGCAAGCTGGGGCGCACGCTGCAAGCTGGGGCGCACGCTGCAAGCTGGGGCGCACTCTGCAAGCTGGGGCGCACTCTGCAAGCTGGGGCGCACGCTGCAAGCTGGGGCGCACTCTGCAAGCTGGGGCGCACTCTGCAAGCTGGGGCGCACTCTGCAAGCTGGGGCGCACGCTGCAAGCTGGGGCGCACTCTGCAAGCTGGGGCGCACGCTGCAAGCTGGGGCGCACGCTGTAAGCTGGGGCGCACGCTGCAAGCTGGGGCGCACTCTGCAAGCTGGGGCGCACGCTGCAAGCTGGGGCGCACGCTGCAAGCTGGGGCGCACGCTGCAAGCTGGGGCGCACGCTGCAAGCTGGGGCGCACTCTGCAAGCTGGGGCGCACGCTGTAAGCTGGGGCGCACGCTGCAAGCTGGGGCGCACTCTGCAAGCTGGGGCGCACGCTGTAAGCTGGGGCGCACGCTGCAAGCTGGGGCGCACGCTGTAAGCTGGGGCGCACGCTGTAAGCTGGGGCGCACGCTGCAAGCTGGGGAATATTCAGTAAAAGGTAAACCAGGTTGATATAAACCTTCGTCATCCCGCTGCTGAGTGACGGCGAAGGATAGATTCATAGTGCTGTTGGTGTCTGTCTGTCTGTGGGTTCTCCTTTATTTTGTATATAAATCTGTTTACATAATCATTCAAAGGCATAATTGGGTTTAATGTTTAACTTTACAGCTCTTTCGTAAATGAAGGACTCCTTTACTGCCTTATATCCACTTGTTTACATTGCTTCTTATATACGAAATATTGTAAAACATGACATTTCTCACTTTTTTATCTGCAGGAAATCGTGAGTATGGAGAGTTGGTCACACCGGGATAGATATTATATCATATATTAAGTGACCTTTTCACCTCTGGGGGTGTCACGTGACGCTAGTATCTCTACACAAATGAAATATAATCAAGATATCACATTAGATTGATAATTGGCGTGTGCTATGATCTATCGTCAGGAAGGAGACTTTATTGTTTGTTGACAACACTGTTGTTGACTTTAGTTACCTCGAGGGAGGGAAGGAGGGGGGGGGGGACACACGGAGGGAGGGAGGGAGAGATATGTAAGGAGAAAGGTAAGGATAGAAGGATCGAGGAATGGAAGAATGGAATGGAGGAGGGAATGAAGGAGGGAAGGAGGAAGGGAGTCGATAAACTTGAAAGTGATCTCAACTAGTGCAACAGTTATTGCTCTTGTTAAATGTGAGGTTCTGGGTTCGAATCCCGAATTGGTGACAGTACACGAAAGCATTTATGCCACATGATGGCATGTTTGTGATATCATCTGTTCGATTGATAAATCATCGCTCTGACATAAATCCAATGGGATTATCTGCTCTGCCTTAACGCAATATTCATCTCACAATGGTATTAATTTAACTCATCTCCGCAACAGGAAGAATCAAATCGGAGGAGACAGAGCTTTTTTTTCCCAACAGAACTAAAAGACTTATCCTTCTAGGATGAAACACCCTTTGTCTTCTATCTTACTGATGAAGGGTTTCACGAGGCACGTTCAGTTTCTCTCCTATGGGAGGGGAGCGGGGAGGGAATGTCAACACCACACCCCGCACCCCCACCACGGGAATGAGGGCGCACGAGGGGGGGGGGGTACCTGTCTACACATACACATTAAAATCACCTGTAGTACATATTTTTCACTCGGGAGAAAATGGCAAGGATCACATATGCAACAGGTTGATCAGTAACACAAGTACGCCACAGAGCAACAGAGCCACAGAGACACAGAGACACGGAGACACAGAGCCACAGAGGCAAAGAGACACAGGGACACAGAGACATACAGTATATACTGAACTTGGGTGATTCGGAGCTCTATTGAGCTGTGTCATGATGGTTGACCATAGAGCCTAGCACACACATCAGTCCTCTAGCTTAACCCCCTCCAGGACAGAGGTGCTTCCATGCCTCTCCTTGGGTGAGGGCAGGGGTATAGTGCCTCTCCTCGGGTGAGGACAAGGGTATAGTGCCTCTCCTCGGGTGAGGACAAGGGTATAGTGCCTCTCCTCGGGTGAGGACAAGGGTATAGTACCTCTCCTCGGGTGAGGACAAGGGTATAGTGCCTCTCCTCGGAGTGAGGACAAGGGTATAGTGCCTCTCCTCGGGTGAGGACAAGGGTATAGTGCCTCTCCTCGGAGTGAGGACAAGGGTATAGTGCCTCTCCTTGGGTGAGGACAAGGGTATAGTGCCTCTCCTCGGGTGAGGACAAGGGTATAGTGCCTCTCCTCGGAGTGAGGACAAGGGTATAGTGCCTCTTCTCGGGTGAGGACAAGGGTATAGTGCCTCTCCTCGGGTGAGGACAAGGGTATAGTGCCTCTCCTCGGAGTGAGGACAAGGGTATAGTGCCTCTCCTCGGGTGAGGACAAGGGTATAGTGCCTCTCCTCGGGTGAGGACAAGGGTATAGTGCCTCTCCTCGGGTGTGGACAAGGGTATAGTGCCTCTCCTCGGAGTGAGGACAAGGGTATAGTGCCTCTCCTCGGGGTGAGGACAAGGGTATAGTGCCTCTCCACGGGGTGAGGACAAGGGTATAGTGCCTCTCCACGGGGTGAGGACATGGGTATAGTGCCTCTCCTCGGGTGAGGACAAGGGTATAGTGCCTCTCCTCGGGTGAGGACAAGGGTATAGTGCCTCTCCTCGGGTGAGGACAAGGGTATAGTGCCTCTCCTCGGGTGAGGACAAGGGTATAGTGCCTCTCCTCGGGTGAGGACAAGGGTATAGTGCCTCTCCTCGTGTGAGGACAAGGGTCTAGTGCCTCTCCTCGGGGTGAGGACAAGGGGGTATAGTGCCTCTCCTCGGGTGAGGACAAGGGTATAGTGCCTCTCCTCGGGTGAGGACAAGGGTATATAGTGCCTCTCCTCGGGGTGAGGACAAGGGTATAGTGCCTCTCCTCGGGGTGAGGACAAGGGTATAGTGCCTCTCCTCGGGTGAGGACAAGGGTATAGTGCCTCTCCTCGGGTGAGGACAAGGGTATAGTGCCTCTCCTCGGGTGAGGACAAGGGTATAGTGCCTCTCCTCGGGTGAGGATAAGGGGGTATAGTGCCTCTCCTCGGGTGAGGACATGGGTATAGTTCCTCTCCTCGGGGTGAGGACAAGGGTATAGTGACTCTCCTCGGGTGAGGACAAGGGTATAGTGCCTCTCCTCGGGTGAGGACAAGGGTATAGTGCCTCTCCTCGGGGTGAGGACAAGGGTATAGTGCCTCTCCTCGGGTGAGGACAAGGGTATAGTGCCTCTCCTCGGGGTGAGGACAAGGGTATAGTGCCTCTCCTCAGGGTGAGGACAAGGCTATAGTGCCTCTCCTCGGGTGAGAACAAGGGGGTATAGTGCCTCTCCACGGGGTGAGGACAAGGGTATAGTGCCTCTCCTCGGGGTGAGGACAAGGGTATAGTGCCTCTCCTCGGGTGAGGACAAGGGTATAGTGCCTCTCCTCGGGTGAGGACAAGGGTATAGTGCCTCTCCTCGGGTGAGGACAAGGGTATAGTGCCTCTCCTCGGGTGAGGACAAGGGTATAGTGCCTCTCCTCGGGTGAGGACAAGGGTATAGTGCCTCTCCACGGGGTGAGGACAAGGGTATAGTGCCTCTCCTCGGGGTGAGGACAAGGGTATAGTGCCTCTCCTCGGGGTGAGGACAAGGGTATAGTGCCTCTCCTCGGGGTGAGGACAAGGGTATAGTGCCTCTCCTCGGGTGAGGACAAGGGTATAGTGCCTCTCCTCGGGGTGAGGACAAGGGTATAGTGCCTCTCCTCAGGGTGAGGACAAGGCTATAGTGCCTCTCCTCGGGTGAGAACAAGGGGGTATAGTGCCTCTCCACGGGGTGAGGACAAGGGTATAGTGCCTCTCCACGGGGTGAGGACAAGGGTATAGTGCCTCTCCTCGTGTGAGGACAGGGGGGGGGGGTAATACCCGTCCTCATTCAATTCCTTTAAACAATTCCTTGTCAAATAAAATTACGAAAAAATCCGCTAATCTCTTAAAAATCTGATGTAAAATAAAAAGATCTTTCGTCCACAATTTAAAAAATAGACTATTTATGCCTTTACAGGTGTGGGGAAATGTCAGGCTTATTACCTGGTTGACAGACTCTAAATCCCCAGCCCCCCCCCCTATATCCTGTACCGACCCCCGTTTCTTTAAGAGCGGAGATATGCGACAGACTAAGAGTAGGGGAGAATGAGGACGAAGTGAAGGAACAATGCCCAACCCCCCCTTGCAGCATTGGGGGATCGAACGACGGCTCTCCAAGCAGCAAGGCAACACAAAATGACACACCATTATCCAGGGCAACCCATTGCGAAAATGTCAATTACACATTTTATGTTCTCGTGAATATACTTAAATGATTTGTCTGAACTGAAGTTTGAACTTAAACTTTAAAGCTACACTCAGGGCAGAGAGACATTTATAAAACACAGCAAG